ACTTCCTACTGGATCTCCTCTTTAGCTTCTCTGAATCCTGGGCCAAGTTTGTGAGCAGCTTTGGGGTGAAATGAGCCAGCCATTCTGCAAATCCCAACATTGTTGGAGTTGGAGGTTTGGAAGCATTGAGAGACTGATGTGGGTTCCAATTCATCCTTTCTCTCTCCCACTTCATATCGACCTTCCTTTCCAGACTTCTGGCCTTGCCGACTTCAAGCCCAGCACTAGACACAGGAGCAACAGACTTACCTATACTCTCACCAAGTTCCCACAATTGTGTGAGATCTCATCCCTATAATAAATCTGTTATATCACTTATATGGTTCTTCTTCTCTGATTGAATTATAATTCCTTGGAAGTAAGTCAAAAAATAACATGCAAGACTGAAATTCTTTGATTTGACCAAATCTTACTTGTAATGGCTTTCACTTCATTAAATGGCTGAAGAGGAGAGTAGTGGCATCCAGACTTGACTTCTCACCTTCTCTGGAGCCTCACTGTGTGCAGGGACCAGGAGGACAACTTCCGGCCTCCCTCAGGGATCTCTCCTCACAATTTCACCCTTAACCCTGTCTCTATTCTACTCCTTCTGTCCCCCTGTATTCACTACTGTCCAGCCATGAGCCTGCTGGTTCGTGTGTGTTTAGAGCCACTTCATATCTAAAATCAGATCTGTGTGTATCAAATCATAATTTTTATTGCAAATATATAGTTTTTTCCTTTCTCATTAAATTATTAATTAGCAGTGACTCTGAAAACGTCAGCTCTAAGAATTGCTCCTTTATGGGCTGGGTGCGGTGGCTCACACCTGTAATACCAGCACTTTGGGAGGCTGAAGTGGGTGGATCACCTGAGGTCGGGAGTTCAAGACCAGCCTGGCCAACATGGAGAAACCCAATCTCTAGTAAAAATACAAAATTAGCTGGGTGTGGTGGCGCATGCCTGTAGTCCCAGCTACTTGGGAGACTAAGGCAAGAGAATTGCTTGAACCCGGGAGGTGGAGGTTGCAGTGAGCCGAGATTGCACCATTGCACTCCAGCCTGGGCAACAAGAATGAAACTCCACCTTAAAAAAAAAAAAGAATTGCTCCTTTATGGTATACAGGAAAGAACATTAGGCTATGAAGTCAACATCAACTCTGATCAATCAGTCTGACCGTTGGGCAAGCCCCTGAATCCCTCTGGATCCTCCAGCCTTCAGCTGCAGAGAGAAGAAGCTGGAGTTGATGATCTCTCAAGACTCCTCCAACTTCAAACATTCCATTCTAAATAAATGAGTTGCTTTACCTTTAAAGAAGTTGGAAGTAAGTATTTCCAGAAGCAAATACTTAGACTGTTATGCATGTTCAAAGACATACCAAACATAGACACAGCTGTATGAAAGTATGTTCTGGAATGAAGCTTAGAGCACATTTAATATTCAATCATTGTTACTAAATTAATTCTAAGTCTTAGCACACTTATTTATATAGTTTTTGATCCTTTATTTTTGTTTTCATAATCTTTTTAGATGTATACTGTCTCAATCCCATTTGGAAGTAAGCGAAATACATATCATAAGGAAATAATGAAAATATTCTAGCAGCTCTGAAGGAAAACTACCTCAATTTAAAACTCCTTGATTATATCACCTAGGAACAGCAGGTTAATGTATTATATTAATGTTGCTGAAAGCAATTCAGCTCTCAGAGGGCCCTGATTTACTTCTAGGAAGTGAATTTGGCTTGAGAAAAAAAAAAAACTATGCATATCTTTTATCAATTTGACCAAGCTCCCATGGACTGAAATAGCTTTAATCTTTTCCTTACAGGGAAACTCCCTTATTTATCTGGGTCCTCTACCCTACCTGAGCTAAAGAATACCTAAGCCCAGTCCCTCATTTTGTGTAAGGGGCCTGAGACATTAATGTCTGTCTACTCCCCACTATAGGAATCAGGTCCATGTGTTTCATTATCACCAGTCTCTATGCCCAGGGACTGCCAGATCCCTGCTCCAGAACCAAACCCAAGGTCCAGAGCTCTGCTCCCTATGAACAAGTGAGCCAGGTACTAGCTTCCTCTCTTCTCAAATCTCCTAGAATTACCTGAGTCCATTTCTCAAGGACAAGGAAGAGTAACTCAGAGCCTAGAGGGCAGAGACTAGAGCCATGGGAGATCATTCTCAGATAGTAAGTATAATAGCAAACTAAGCCCTAATAAAGGAATTAGCCACATGTGCCTTGGAGATTTCAGAATTGCTGTGAACCAGTGTCTGCTGTGTGCCTCCTATTTTCTCGCTTTCTGAATGGGAGTATCTACTGCAGTTATCCTATTCCTGTTCCACCACCGTAGGACAGATCATCAGTCTCTTTAATTTACAGGTTTAAAGACTGAGAAGGATGGTACTCAAGAAGATGGACTTGAGGAACCACGCTGCAGGAGCCTCAATTGCATGTGGACCTTGAGTCTGAGTCTGATTTAATAATGGAATAAGATTTTTCTAGAGTCTTTGGTGAAGTGAATATACTTTGCATGTGGGAGGAAAGTAAACAATTGTGGTCATAAGACAGATTGTGTTTTAACATATGACCTCAATTTCTTTAATGTGTTTCTCATTGAATGTTTCCTCCATTTAATTCAGGCCAGCGGCTCGGGACTTCTACACCAACAGGCTATGACAAAAGTAATGCTGTGTGATTTCTGGGGCTAGGTCTGAAAAGGACGTGCAGCTTCTACCTCCTTCTCCTGGGATCCTTGCTCTTGGATCCCAGCCACCATGCTATGAGGAAGTCCAAGCTGCCACATGGAAAAGCTGAACACCTGAGGCTGATGTCCCACTATCACCAGTCTCTATGTAGGTATTCAGACCAACAGCCCCAACTAAGGTCCAACAAGATATGTGAGTGAACAAGTCTTTAGATTATTCCAGCCCTAGCTGGAACTATCTGCCTGTATTTCCCATCATTGCTGTGCTTGTTGGGGCATTCTACCATCTCACGCCTCAACCAGGATGAGAGATTGCAGTGCCCTTGGGTCCTGTTCCTTTCTGTCTTGCTGACTATCCCTCACCATCATCAAACACCCAAACCTGTCCTTCCTCTCACCTGCTTTGATTTGCTCTGATAAACTGCACTGCCTAATAGCTGAATCTCAAAACAGTACAAACACAATGGTGCATAACATGACTATAATTCGGCAGTAAATAAGGAGAATGAAGTCATAGTCTAATACTTGACACTTAGCATTATAATCTGTTGAGATTAGCCCGAGACTTCTGATTTTTTTGTTTTGGCACCTAAATCTAGCAAATTGCACTACATCTCCATCTCCACATTGGTATGGTACAAGGACCAATGATCAATGGATGACAAGCTTTTACAAATCTCCAGCTTCACTTGGTAGAACCCCAAACCAGATACAATTGCCTCAGACCCCTCTCCAGGCAATCCAGGATTCCCTATCAGGAGGGGAGTGCAGCAAGCAACAACTTCCTGGTCAGTAGCTACCACTCCTCCTACACACTCAGTCTCCTTTGGACCTGAAATCTCAAGCCTTCAAAGAAGTGAGATGTTCTGCTTCTCCCAAAATGCCATCTGGCACACAGCCCCTAAGCCTCTGCTCTCTACTTCCTTCTGCCAGGCAATGCCATCAACACTCTTCTCACTGAAAGGCCATGTGTTACATGGTGCTACAATAATCCTCAAGATACTGAAAGTAATGCCAAGTGAAAGACCAAGGGGGTGGGTGGAGGGCTAATGGGCTGGATGAAATAGCCACTTGATTGCTAGTTCATACAAGATGTGGCAGCAACTCCTTTTCTGGCTTGAGATCTTGGATATCACATCTTAGAATCAGGTGGCAAAGCATCTGTGAAGGGCAATGTGGCATCCCAGGCAGTGGGTGGTGAGATCAGGAAGAAAAAATGGAAATCAACAGATGGTGGATCCTACAGCTGAGAACCGATTCTTCAATTTGACATGGTTAGAATAAACATTTTAAATGGAGCTTGGTAAAGATCGGGTTATTTTACCATTGACCAAGCTCTTGGCCTCTAGAAGGTCTTAAATTTTTATTTCCTTTGCTTTCATGAAAGTTTCTTTGCTTTCCAGGAACTTCAGGGGGAAAAGGTTAAGTAATGGAGGGAGGGAAGAAAGAGGGGTTAGCAGATCAAACCCAGGACTTAAAAGTCCCAGATCTAAACCTTGAAATCCCCAGATATTTTATGTTATAAAAAGATGTCCCACTTTCAGAATCCAGTTCTGTAAATAGTTTTCAGAAGTCAGGGGACTTGCAAAGATTTAATTTGCCTGACAAAAATTTTCATTGGCATTTTCTATATTTCCTAGTGCCACCCTCTATGATTTTCAATCCCTAAACATCTAAATTAATGTGGACATCTGCTTCTAGCAAATATAGTCAGAGCTGCCCTGCCACTGCCAATTTGCAATCATAAAACCATAGGAATAAAAGGAAGAAGAAGTTAAACAGAACAACTCAGCCCAGCTTCCTGGAACTAGGGCCTTTTGTAACTTGCTCCCCTCCTCCTACCCCGTATCCTGCCCCCTCTCACTATGTCCCAATCTAATGTCATAATTCAACTGCCAAATATGCGTAATAGGAAACATAAACCACAATCCCATTTGTTCTATAATCATTCAAACATCACCAAGTTTTTGTCAGGACAGAAAATGAAAACTATGTGAATAAATACTACATTCAAGGAATCTGTACACCCCCAGCCATTTAAGCCACAAGCTTATAATGAGGAGAATCTCACACTTTCTGGAAAGGTTGGCACTTTGCTCCTGGCCTGACGGTCATTATGTCTCCCTAACTTGGCTCCGGCTCCAGGCCAGCACTGTCCAGTGGCCATGGAATGTGGACTGTGAATGCAAACTACCTATGCCATCTTAAATTTCCTAGCAGCCACAGTCAAAGAGGAAAAAGAAACAGACTACATTAATCTTAATAATACTTTTTGGTTTTGTGGGTTTTTTTTCAATTCGAGAGCAGGTACTGTTTATTAATGGACAAGATTAGAAAAAATAATCGTGGTAGGCACGTTTATTCTTCTAATAGGCCTATGGATCTGGTCTTCCCTGTTGTCAGCATCTCCACCTTCTACAAAATTGGTGGTCTTTTTCTTCATTCCACCTTGTTGAGAGGATAATTTGAAGGTCCACAGGAAGTTATTTTTTCCAACAGTATAGATCTCATGAATCAGATCCTCTATGTAGATGATGCCATATTAACCAAGAGATAGAGCAATCAAAGTATTATCTGTCGTGAAAGTAGCTTCTTATTGATTTTGCTGTAGCCACATTTGTAGATTAGTTTATTTACTGACTTCTGATTTGGGTATGCCCAGGCAATATATGGTTCTATAAACCTCAGCATGCTATTGAATCCCTGCTGAGCTTCACAAAGTTTCTATTGAAGATTTGACGAAGGCGAAGAAGTTGCAACACCTTTCAGACCTTTGGGCTCACCCAGTTGATAACCTCTGATCCTGAAGACAAACGCCAGTTTGGGTTCTGCAGGTACGCAGAAGTTGCCAGCTTTTCTTGCCATCCTCGCCATTCGAATTTCAGTTCTGTACATCTGCCTATATTCCTTGTGATAGTGCTTTGCTTTTTCATAGATAAGCTTCCTCCTTGCCTTTTGAAGCATCTTTTGGGCAAACTTATTTCTCAGGTGCTTGATCTTCAGCTCTGCGAAATTCCTTCACTTTTTCTTAAGGGATTCTGGCACAGCAGGAACCTTCTTCTTCTCTTCGACACCCTCCATGGTTCCAGCCGGAAAAGAGAGTTGATAATACTTTTTAACCCAGTACCTCCAAAATCATTTCAGCATATGACCTATACGTTAAAAAAACATTGAAACATCTTATAGTCTCTTTCACACAAATTCTTCAAAACTCAGTATTTACACAATTCAGACGAGTCCCATTTTAGGTCCTCGATAGGTGGCTAGTGACCAGCTTAATAGATAGCACAAGTGTATGCAGATAAGCCTGTCCTTATTTATACGGCAAAATGTGTTCCTTTCTAAAAGAAAATGCCCCTCCTGAGTCAGGCAACTGGAAATGGTAATTCCTTTTCCTTAAATAAGCTTACCAGATAAAACACAAAACACCTACTTAAATTTGAATTTCCGATAAATAACAGATTATTTTTAGTATAACTATGTCCTAGTATTGCATGGAACATACTTATGCTATAAAAATTCCTCAATGTTTATCTGAAATACAAATTTAACTGGGCTTCCGGTATTTTTATTTGGTAAATCTAGCAACCTCACCTGAATTCAACTCAAGTAAGAAATGGAGGGGGAGGAATAAAATATGGCAGTGGCTGAAGGCAGCAGCAGATGATGGTGCACCAGGAAGTCAGAGGCAGGCCTGCCGGGACAGCCACTGTAAGAACCACCATCATTAAGGGTGAGTAATGGAAGCACCTGGGAAAGCACAAGGCTGAGCAGCAGGGGTGGCCGCCTCTCTGGAACCTGTGCCTGTGCGCCTTGTTTTCTCTTTCTCTTTCCATGAATTTTACAAAGATACCTGCACATCCTGTAAGGATACACATTTTGCAAGACCTTAGTCTTAACATGGCACCTGCAGCTTTAAATTTTGCTATGGATTTTCCATGCTAATAAAAAAAAAAAAAAAAAAATTAGGGGCTGGGCGCGGTGGCTCCCGCCTGTAATCCCAGCACTGTGGGGAGGGCAAGGTGCGCAGATCACGAGGTCAGGAGTTTGAGACCAGCCTGGCCAACATGGTCAAACCCTATCTCTACTAAAAATATTACAAAAATTAGCCAGGTGTGGTGGCACATGCCTGTAATCTCAGCTACTCGGGAGGCTGAAATAGGAGAATTGCTTGAACTCGGGAGGCGAAGGCTGCAGTGAGCCAAGATGGCACCACTGCACTCCAGCCTGGGCATCAGAGCAAGACTCCATCTCAGAAAAAAGAAAAGAAAAGAAACATATATATTAATCAGAGCTCATGCCATGGGTGAAGAGATAGAAGTATTGAGTTTTTTCCTTCACTAGGTATTCTTTTGTGTGCTCCAAGTGAGAGGCGGGAGGCATACTCAAAACATTTTCCTAAAATTCCTAAAAATTCCAAAACAGTAACCTAGTTAGAGCTAAGGGGCATAAGGATTACAGAACTTCTGAGAAAACATTTTCTTCAGGTGGCTAATGCTCTCAGCTAAGATCCAGACAGTTTGATGCAGTAGGTCAGGGATGGGGCCTGAGAATTTGCAATTCTAACAATTTCCCAGGTGATGCTAATACTGCCGGTCCAGGAAACATGCTTTGAAAACCACTGTTTTAGATTATGAGAGTGTTTCCATAGGGATATAAATAGCACTTCTTGAGACTTTTTGTTTTGTTCTATAGTTAGAGTTTCCTCAAACTAAAAACTCAGAGAAAATAAACTGCTTCAGCAGTGATCCTGTGGGCCAGTGGCCTCTGTTATTGCTGTTGATCACGCAGGTGAAGGATGCAGGTTTTCACATTATGAGTCAGATGGCTTATTTGCAACACTGCAGGCTGAAGAAAGAAGTGACTCAAAGGTGATCCGTTGAGAACAGGTATCCCAAGCTAGACTCTTCCCACTTCCTGGTCACCTTTTCCCCCTCCACCCTTTATCCATTGTGCTTCCTCCTCATCAGCCCTGAATTTCCCCAGTCTATCCATCTACCTCAGCCTCCAGCCAATCCTATGCAGAGTCACGGGAGGGTGAACGTAGCCAAACCTCAAGGCTACCATCACCCAGAAAGTTTTTTGCCTAGCCAGCTCAGTAGTAGTTAGGAGGCCCACTTGGTAGCAATGTTTTCGAGTCCCCAGAATGACTAGACAGTTACTTTCCTGTCCTGGAGGAGAGAGCTCAGACATATTGGTCCCAGGCAAATGAGGAAGATGAAACTATATGTCAGGGCAATAACAATGAGCCGCCATGAGATTTTCAGCATTTACAAAAGGCACTCTTCTGTTTAACCTTTTCTGACTCAATACCTTATCTCTAGGCACCTTCCATCAGCCTTCCTTTCCAGCAGGCTTCTGGGAGGGACATTGTTCTCCTCCCTCTTTTATGGATTTCCTTTTAGAGTTCTCTCCAAGACTTCCCTTTCCCCAGGCCCCCCTTGCCCATGCCATCCATCCAATAAGGACCAAACACTACCTATTTAAGGACTTTATCACCAAATTAGAGTTATAAAGAATGCCCAGATCAAACATAAGGAAGCCCCAGAGATTCAAAACACCTTACCACATTCTCCTAGACTTTGTCTCTCTTCTATTCCAAGAAGCCCAGTTACCCTTTCTCCTCTCTTTTATCTCCAAGGATAGAGAACACCAGCCGCACCAGCCATCTTGTGCCCTGCTTGCTGAGAGGAGCTCTTCTTCCATGAAGATCCCTTGATGCAGAGCCCTTCATTTTGGCAAGAAAGAAAGTTTAGAGCAGATCAATAATGGTGACCTAGGAGGATATTGAGCTTCCTCTTTATCTCGAGTGAAAAACATTCCTGAGAGGAACTTAAAAAGGATCTTCGAGAACTAATGGAGAGGCAGCATGCTGGCTACAACAAAGACCTGATTTTCACTAAGTGCTTAGAATTTCACCCAGAGCTGTGGCTACACAAACCCTAGCCTTGTCCCCAATTTATAGAAATAAACAAATTATTGTTAATAAACCTATGTTGCAAATTAAATAAATCTTAAAGTGCAGGCACTTATTTCTCTCTTACTATTCTTAATGGGGTCAGCTCATTTCCACATGTAATAACCAATGTCTGGAACCCATTTACCATTTGCTTTAGATGAAAATTTCTCTGGAAATCAAAACTAATATTCACTTTGCATTTTCCTTCTCTTCTTTTGAAAGGGAAGTGACCAGGAAGTCTTCATATGTTCTGACTTCTTTCTTTCCCATTTCATTGTTCTAATAAACTAGTATTTCTCCAACTGTGGTCAGTGGGGCCACTTTCATAAGAAATGCCTGGGATGGTTGTTAAAATTGCAAATTATTGGCCTCACCCCAAACATACTCAAGTGGAGTGAGGACTTGCCCAGAAAATCTCTTTTAACAAGCTCCTTAGGTAATTCTTCACTGCAATAAGTACTGTTTATATTTACCCTACAAGTGTTTTAAAGGCACAAATGTCCCTACAAGGCCGGGGTTTGACAAAACCACCCCCACTCTGGAGCTCCAGTTACTCTGCTGGTTTAATTGTGGCAAAAAGCACAAATGTTACTCTAGATGGGACTCAACGTTGGGTCAAATAGTGTTTCTTTGTTTTTTCCTGCTGTACTTTACCCTTTATTACTTCTTCCCCACTTCCCTGTCTTAGCATGCCATTATCTGCAATTCATTTCATACTTATTATTCATAATTCAAACTTCATACAATGATTTCTATGATTCTATGACACTGTGATTCTATGACATTAACTCAGCTGACATTTCTAATCCTGACATCCTAACTCATCCTCCAGGTTAACAACATCAGTGCTTGCAGTACAGCTCACCCCTTTTCCTTAAGCCTGGAAACCACCTTGTTTATTCCCGAGCTAAATTGATCCTTGTGAGTAAACCATCCTAGGTCTTCATTTCTCCAATTACATTGCCATATTGCCCTTCCCCACACATACTTGAAATACCAACATCCACCTTCAAGGTAGAGATGGCTTATTAAGCCTTCCTTTGTACTGATCACATACTATAAACACATTTCAATTATTATAACTATCTCACTGTAATGTAATATTTGTTTACCTCTTTGTTTACCCTACTAGATCTAAACTACTCCTAAGCAGGCATTCGATTAATTACTCTGCTATCTCCAATATTTAGCCTAGTATCTGGTCACAAAGTGGGCATTTAATATTAACATTGGGCTAAACTACTCTCCAACTTTTACGGGCAAAGATGCTATATCATTTAATGCTGCCCCATAAAATGCTGACTTGTTATGCCACTATTTATTCTCATAAATGTTATGACTGTATATATGGAATACATACAATAATGTTTACTCTATACAGTACATCTGAGCAGTGAATTTAATATATGTTTTTCTTACGACCAGACTGCTGGTAGAGTCTAACGCAACACTGTCTCCTAGAGTTCTCATTAATGATGGTAATATTCTATGTCTACACTGTCCAGTATGGTAGCTATTACTTACATAGAGCTAATGAACTCTTAAAATATGTCTGAGGAAGTGAATTTGTAACATTATTTTATTTTCATTGATATCACTGTAAACAGCCACATGTGGCTATGATATTTTAATGCTCTCATCCGGAAAGTACTAATGAACTCAACTGTGCTTCCTTCACTGTGGACAGAGCCTGGAAATCTAGTGTTTGCTCAGCAGTGGTATTCCCGGAGCGGCAGCAGATGGGAACAGTCAGCTGAGGTACAGAGAAGAATTCTATCACTGACATCACTTAGAATTGCTGGTGCTCAATAATAACAAAGCAGATCAATTTTTTGTCTTATTACTGTTTTTAAGCTCTTTACAGACAATGCGCCCGCTCATTGCCTGCACCCACAGGGAACTGCTCCCTCCAACTGCTCCCTCCAAAACCTTTGTTACGCCACTCTCTTTGGTCACTTTGTCTCTTCCTGCCCTCATGCTCTGTTCCAGTGAAGGTTTTTGACTCCTGACGGATAACAAAAAGTGTGCAAGTAATTGTGCTGAAAGTGACTCAAAAGTGGCGAGGAAGATTATCACACTGAGTATTAAAACACAAATTTTAAAGCAGTTCAAGATTCCTTCA